AAGTGTTGTTATTTGTTCTGTCTTTTAAAAAGGTCGAATAAACCAGGGAGATTGTCTTCATGAATATTTGTTTAATAAAATCTTGTTCTTGTAGATAAAAATAATTTTCAAGCCATTTTGTTATTGAATATAGCACCTTTGGAGCAAAATCACTAGCAATTGATCTAAAATTTGAGTAGAGCAGAGCACAAAATTCACCCCCATTAGTCTATTGAAAATAACTGCAATTCGATTTGAATTCAGTTTTTCTCTCCACACTTTTTTGCTATCTCCAGCTTTCCTATTTCATTTTCAGGAATAATAAGCTCTCTCTTCAGTAAAGCGCCAGGCTCTTCCCTCTCAATAAAATACTAGCCACCCTCACTTTGCCTTTCCATACAACATGTGCCCCACCATGCACACGCACGCACACACGCACACACACACACACACAGGCTTATTTCTCATCCAGACTTCAGATCTCCGCTTAAATATCACTTCCTCAGACAAACTTCCTTTGATTCTCAGTCTCAGTTGGGTCTCCAAACTAAATGTCCCCCCCTTGCTCCCCATTTAACACTGATCAGAGCCTCTGGATATTGACTTTTTAAGGTCTGACTTACCTACCAGACTGTTGGTCTATGAGAGAAAGGTCCTCTTCTGTCTTAGTTACGTGTCTCAGCACTCAGTACAGTTGTCTAATGAAATGAATTGATGAATATGCATCAGTGACCATACCGATGATATCTGATATAGCAACCCTATAAAATTAATTTACTAGAAAATTATTTAGGACCTCAGATGCACTTAATGTATCAGTTTCAAAATGTTGCTAAGATATCATCTAGAATGAATACCTATGAGATCAAGATTGAAAGAGAGATATTTTCTTGACGATTTTACCAAGATCCAAGGATAGCTCTTACCTTTCTAAGTTACATTCTTATTTATCAGATCTCTAAGCATTATACCATTTCCCACATAATATGCAAGCTTATAAGAATGACGTATAAAACTGAAGTGGTAATTTATTATTTTATTATTGGAAAACTCATTTATATGACAACTACATTCTCTATTGGTGGGAATAACTATAAGGAAAATATACTAAGTAAATATGGTATGAAGACAAAATATGAATGTTAATGCCATGACATTAACTTAATTTTATATTTCTCAAACTAGGATAGAAGTACTTCCAATAGTGCATCATTTACTTACTCATTCATCTGAAAATATTTACAATGAAACCTTGTTCTATGTGCCTACTCCAAACCAGTGAAAAGCACACAGCTTTTCATGGAGCTTTTATCCATGTGAGATATAAATGTAAATAAATAAAGTGTTTGTAAATGGTAAATAAACAAACTCATTTCAGATTGAGAAAAAAATGCACTTAAATGAAACCAATATGAGGGAGAGTTGGGGAGACCATCTTTAGAAAGAAAGTCTAGAAAGGCCTCCAGGGAGGGGGCACTAAACTGAAACCTGGAAAAAGAAGAAGGGGATCAGCCAGTGGAAAAAGGTGACAGAAGAAATGTTATTTACATCATTAAGTACAAAAGAATTAGCATGCTGGAAGACAAAGACAGCTACAGCTAGTTAGACCCACCCTCTTTTTGACGGACATGTTCTAATAAGATTACACCTACATTTCAACTCAGCACAAATTAGGTTAGAATTTCTAGGATAAGGCTCTACCAACCTCTAAAGATAAAGCGGCCAGGCAGCTGTGAGAGTGACAGTGGGCGTGGTTCTGCTTCTGGCTCAGGTTGGGTTCGAGTCCTGGACCAGGCCTGTGCGCGGTCACCTTCAACTAACAGGTACCAGGGCAGAGGGGACACCCCCGCAGTCACTGAGACTCCAGCACGTGGACAAACCTGTTTGAATCCCAATCGCCTCGCTTACACATGTTGAAGGCACTCATTAAATGTCTATTGAACAAATGAAGGAAGGTGTAATTAAATTTAAGTAGTTATCTATCAACACAATGAAAATAAGGCGGTGGAGAATCTCAATTGCCACACATGGTAGTGGGACCAGGCTGTGAAAATAGGAAGACAAAGAAGCATACCCTCCCCCAACCTGCAATCCCCTTCCCCATCCTAAGCCAGTGGCACAGAAACTCCTATTGCTGCTTTTTTTTTCTTTTTCAGACATTAAGGTGACTGTTTACATCCCTGAAAGTGACACAACCCATTTTGAAAGTGGCGGTCAATCAACTCTCACCATTGGCTATGATGTAGTGAAGTTTAATAGTTTGTATAAGTACATAGACCATTAAAACAAAAAAACAAATCAATGTTTAAAAACCTCTTAAATTTTGACCTGATGTTTGCCTGCAATTCATGGTATATATCTGGAAGCAGTTCTCTCCTTTTTTTTTTTTGGTCTGTTTTAAAATAAACGCTGGTTGTGAGACTGGAAAATTAAAAAAAAATAATTTCCAGTAGAGGAGATATTTAACTATCTTTTAACTCATTGTTCCCTGATCTCACTCGTAGGCATACCAAGTCCTCATCCATTTGAAACTGAAGCCAGATAAAGCATTCTTAGTGCCTTACCTTAAAACATAGTATGTGCAGGTGAATTTCTAAAGGCAGAAATTGTAAGACATGACCACTCCTGCTCCCTGTGGTACATTGCTATGGTCTCTGCAAACTGCACAGACAGGTTCTCAAAGCAAGTTTGCACCAGCCAACTCTGTGTGTGTGTGTGTGTGTGTGTGTGTGGAGAGAGAGAGAGAGAGAGAGAGAGAGAGAGAGAGAGAGAGAGAGAGATAAAAATGTTAATGTTTTGGTTTTCAATAAGAAATAGGACTTCAGTGAACCAGACTATCCAGAGTGTTCTTTCACCTAACTCACCAGACCATACCCTGTTGTT